CTTCTGAGTGGAGCTAGATACCATCAAAGGCAAGGTGCCCAATAACATCTCTCCATGGGTCTTGAGAGAGGGGGCCGAGCACTATGTGTACCCCTAACAACAATATTCAATACATCTATCGAAACAGGGAGATGCCTGAGGCATGAAGACAGCAAATGTGGTTCCCAATTTTTACAAAAGGATACAGACATGAAGCACTAATCTACAGGACCAGTGTCACTGACATGTATAGCATGCAAAATCATGGAAAAGATTGTCAGGATGAAGAATGGTGGAACATCTAAGAAAGGGATGATCTCATCACCAGAAGCCAACATGGTTCAGAGATGGGAAATCCTGGTGTCACAAACCTAGGGAGTTCAAAGACATGGTAAAGCAGTAAGCAAAGAGAGAAGGGTGGGGGGATTGATTTTTTGGATGCAAAAAGGGCTTTTGAACAGTCCCACAAGAGATTGTGAAAAAACTGGAGGCCCAAGCGGGGATAACGGGGAAGGCACTGCAATGGATCGGGAAATTTCAAAAAACGCAGCGAGAAGGGTACGTGGCGGGGTTTGTCAGAGGGGGAAACCCTGTGAACCCGGGGTCCCCCAAGGGGTCATTTCCTGGCCATGCTGTTTTGGTTTTTGTGAACGACATGAGGGAAAGGAATAAACTCCGAGGTGCCTGTTTGCAGTGACGTGAAGTTGATGAAAAGGGTTTTCATTCGTCGAGACCGGCAAAAAACTACAAAGAGATCTGGACAGGCTGCAGCCGGGTTCGAAATGGCTCCTGGGTTCAATCCCCCCAAGGCAAAGTCATGGGGATTGGGGAAGGGCAAAGAAGACCTTTGACGGGTACAGTTAGGGGCCAGAGACACAAAACTCACTCAAGGAAAAAGTTTTGGTTTTGTGAGTATACACCAGGCACATCTCCTGAACGCACACAACCAAATAATGCCGCGCTTTGGGGGCCGGGAAAACCTCGAACGCATTCGCATTTTAAAATAAGGAATCGTTCAGGACCGTACCCCGTGTAACGTTGGGCCCTATTAGGTATGCGCACCATTTGGGAAACCCCACCCCTACCAAGCATGTAAAGAAACAGAAAAGTGAAAGGTTTGCAACAAGATAGTCCCAGAGTTAAGAGGTATTCTATGGGGAGGGTTTAAAGGGAAATCAACCGACGACACGGAGGACAGGGAGATAGGGGGGACATATAACGACAACAAAATAGGGGGGAATTGACAAGGTGGACAAAGCAGGATTTCCCAGAGCTGGACACAGAAACCCGGGGGGACCGTTGGAAACTAAAGACAAAATGAATCAAAGGGAGTTAAAAGTTTTCTTCGCCACAAGTAGTCGGAAGTGGAATAGTTTGGGAAGCGATGTAGGGGGAGGCAGGTTTTCCTCATAGTTTTTTAAGCAGAGGTAGATAAAGCTCTGGTTAGGGAGGTGACCTAGTACCCCGACCAGTGAAGATGGGCCCCAGGAGTTTGGGACCGACCCCTGCAACCTCAATGATCAACAGGGAGTACACACACACACACACGCATCACGCACACACACACACACGGAGTTTGGGGACTCGACCCTGCAACCTCAATAGGTGAGTATAACAACCAAAACACACACACACACACACACCACAAACATAACACACACGCGTGCACACGCATACCCCCGCAGAGTGGGGGGGAGAAACCCCATCATAGCTTTAAGATGGGCATGATAAAGCTCATGGAGCAGGGGAAAAGGGGACTATAGCACTCGGGAAGAGGGGGGGCCGGAGCCGAGTTGCCCCCGCAACCACAATAAGTGAGTATAAAATTTGGGGTAAAACCCCCAAAAACTACAACAACAATTAAATTTTCCCGAAACGGGGGGTTTGAACGGGGCAATGAGTCCCAAATTTCTTCCCGAGTTTAAAACCGTCCCCCGGGGTTTTTTTGGAATCGTGCTATTCGATTTCGTGAGTCACAGTTTATACAAAATAAATAATAATAAAATAAAATAATAAAAATAATAATACAGTAATAAAAACTCATAATATTTTCAAATTGCTTGTTCAAAACGAGCCTAAGCCCAAACATAAAGTTAGTGTTTTTGTCTCATTGGTGAATAAAAAATGGTGTAAGTGGGCGAGAATCACGTTAACAGTCTGGCCAATCCATTGAGCTGTGAATATGATCATCAGGTTTTTTCTAAAGCACTGTATCTGTCGTGCTAAGGGGCGGTTTTTTAAGGGCCCCGGTGCTAGAGGAAAGAGACTAATTGGATTTTGGTTCTTTTATCTTCTGTCTCTCTCTGAGCGTATAAAAACCCCAGGAAAAAAGAACACCAGTGTCGACCCCAAGTAGATTAGTTGACAAGCATCATCTTTACCCCGTGGTACAAACTCCTTCTCTGTTGAAACACGTAACATTCAAAACACATTCAAAGGACAGTCGGGTTGCAGACAGTAGCCACTGACACAGATGTTACACATCAGTACCTTCTGTGAAACTTTCCTGTTGGAAGCTTCG